ATTAATATATCTCAGTACAATCAAATTTGAGAATTTCCCATATCACAGCATAGAAATGATATGACTATAGTAGGGGTATTTCGTGTATATATTGAAACGTTCACGTGGGTATTTTGCAAAACATTTAACTTTACCACACTATAGGAACAATATCACCCAAAACAATACTGTCATGTCCGGTAAAATAATGACTTGGTTAAACCATTCCCCTTAATGAAGCCATTGAATCCAAAAGCCTACAATTTGTATAAAATGAATTACAGAAGTATTAAAATGGAGCCCGAAACATGTAGAAACGATGTTGCAGTATTTTAATAGTGAAAATATCTTATTATTGTAGAATTAATTCATTGATATGCCCAAAACGATTAAAACCTGTTCCAACAAACTGTAATAAAAGTCGAATATCACAAATGGTACCCCGGAGGCGTCATGGATCATATTAGTCTTCTCAAATCCAAGCTGATCTAGAGTTGTAAGAAAATGATCAACAGCGATCTTGATCTCATATAACATTACGATCTTTTTCCCATACAGTTGTGACATACCATTTTGAAATATGTTGAGAACGACAGACTGACCGTCTTTAAATACACATATCTTTACAGTCTTTGTATATGGATAAAACTACGTGGGAACTATCGCGATCCAAACATGGTAGGGACTCTCGTTAATTCCTTTCTCTATTTGAAAACGGCTTAACGCTAGTTTCCTATACAGTTTTATAACATCACAATCTTTTCTATCCTTGAACATTGCTTTCTCGAGAAAAAAGTCGTTGACAAATAAACGTTGTGAGCTAAGGAAAGCTATGTTCTCAATACCTTTAGAGAAGTTTATGAGGTTATTGGATACAATGTTACGACATTATTTGTAACTATATTATCCATCATTCAGTCTCATTATATTCCAACAACAGGAGATTTTTTTGAAAGTTTAATATTTAAATGTATGTAAATATCGATCTTGTGAGTCTTAACATCTTGACGTTAACGAATGGAAATGGAATAGAGTTCTACATTATACTTTTCTGCCCCTGATTTGAATAATGAGGCCGACAAAGTTTGTAATCACGAAAATTTTGCCAACAGAGATGCATAAGCTTACTATTATACCGCAGAAGAATCTGTGTTATCCGCAGACAACCCTACGAGGGGGAAATTTTGACTTATCAAATGTCTACATAATGTTATTAAATGTGCTCTGGCACTGTTGATGTTACCACGTAATTTCTTCTGCTGTTAAGGCTCTTAAGTTGCTATCTTACTGTCATGATAAGAGACAAGAATGATGTTAATCTTGTGGCACCATGTCTTAGATTTACCCACAAGTCTTTTTAAATAATATTTGTTTTCGGGCTTTTAGCTTTTAATCTCTTGTTTCTTTCTAACTCGCGTTTCAAATATCTTTTAACACCCAAATTTAAAAGGCGAAAATCTCGACTTAAAATCTTGTTCAAAGGAAGAAATAAAGTGGTTCGAGTTGACCATGTCAATAAGTTCTTCCTCTCACAACAGATTATCAAACTGACCGACAAGATAACTTATTGAACCACCCAGTTACAATACAAACTTTCTCTTGACCCTACCGATCAGATGGTCAGTTCACTATACACTTGAGTATATTTGAAACCTCGAACCACATAATGGAAACACGGATTTTGGTAAGGTTCCATGCGGGGCGCCTCAATACGTCTTATTGTTATATTTCATGATATTTCTTTTAAAACAATGAAAATTTCTTAATCATTTAAAAGAAAAATACATGGGACGACACGAAGAATACACAACCGTTAACCTGATTAAATTTAAAAGCATATATTTTGAAAGAAATCTAAACAAAAATTCAATAGTATTGTTTATCGGGAAGCGTACACCATGCACGTAAAAGATTGGTACAGGGCGTCATGTCTTCCCTTTGATCCTCAGAAAACAATAGCGACATTGTGACCGGACACAGAAGCAAACGTTTTATTTTCAGAAAAATATTTTCGAAAACTATTCGATACGTGTAAATAGAGATAATAAAAAGACAAAATTATAGATTCGTGTGGTTTCCAATGATTTAGAGAACACCTTTGAAACTTTCCCGAAGAGTAGTTTACTTTAGCCAGAAAGTACACCTACGCATTTTAGTACCGCGGACTTGACTTAATATGCACTAGGCATTCACTCTGTCTTGGCTTTGCACTTTTCAGTCATTCCCACTTTTAATTATCCAGAATAACCATTGGACATAATTTATTTCTACCTTGTTAATTTTCTTAGTTTTGGACTTTTGGATAAGTATTGTATTTTTCGTGTACATTGTATGAGCAGCTTAACCATGCATGTATTGTTATTCAATATCAAGTGGTGAATATTTTATAAGGAGAAGGGCATGGTGAAGGCCACAATTCTGACGATAATGTAGTATTGTCTTACCATACTATTTTATTAAGTGAAAAGGGCTAAATGAAAAAAAAAAACAGTAAGGATATGTGACAATATAGACAACGCTTAAAATCTCTATATTTCCTATTGGATATTTTCATTGATTTAAAAGCGTAAGAAAAGTTGAATGTTTACTTCGGTGCACAGACTTAAAAGAGAGCGTCAGCTGTTAGAAGACATTCTGGTCAATATTGAATGATGACTTAACCCTTTCAAGTAAATATTGCATTGTGGATATCAAAGGGCTTAATGTTGTGGAGGAACTTCACCAATATGAGCTGAACTGCTATGAGAAACACGATCTATAAATATGTGAACTGTAACGTCTGAAGCATAACCTTACTTTAATAACAACTTCTGGTCAGTCTGAAAAAAAAAAGAACTGTTACATTTATTTTGAAAAAGAAAGAAATAAAGAAACGACTGGCCTCTATTGTACAAGGATAACAAATTAGGTTCCCAATTAAGGATCTTTTCTACCAGCTGGTCCTTAGCCAAACCTCTCGGCATCGATCTTTCCAGGATTATCCGTACAATTGCAGCTCGGTCGACTCAAACTTTTAGTAAAGATGGCTTTATCAATGAATAAATTACGTCATGTAAAGAACAAACTCTCTAACCAACTTTGATATAAAACCTTACAATATCTCATGATTTCAGAGATGATGTAGCGAATTTTTCTCATAGAATACAGAGCATCATCATGGTTTTATTTCCAATCCCGAAACTTGTAATTGTAAATACACTTTTACCAAGAGGCAGAATCCATATTTTAACAGGATTATCGCCACTTATTGATCAGTGGGCATGGGGTTCACGGCAATACTTAAATATAGGTGCTACAATAGCAATACTATTATGCAAAGATATGTTTATGTTGAGGGCGGTTGTGTAGCAAGAAATGGCGAAAGCAAATAATGATTAGCTAGTCTTATTATTAGTTGCAGAAATTTAAAGACTTCATTTTTGTCAATACCAAGCTGTGCCAATTCCAGCTTCAGTCTTTTTACATGTGTTTGTGAAAACAAGTGGATATATTCCCCCCTACCTACTTGATTAAATGGCAATGATCTATGTACCTATCGGTATTTTCTTGACTATAATATATATTAAGGGGGGCAATTTCTTATTAAAATCATTCCAAAACGGTTTGCTATTAATATAAATAAGACATAAATATAATATTAGAAGTACTTCAAGGCATTTCAGGGGAGATAATTTCTTTGAAAAATTATTAACATACGTGCCCATATTTGAAAGACAAAATGAAATGAGGCTTCTTTCTTTCGTACAAATAAAAAAAACGAAGGCTTGTCAAAGAAGCAAAGACTTGGGTTTTTGTAATTTAGTTGGTTGTATATTAAAGTCATCGCGGAAAATACAGGTAATCCAAGAGCGACAATTTCACCATACAGATTTCTAGGAGCATTTCTTTACGTCTTAAAGATTAAGTCAGTGGATTTGATAATAATCATTGACTATATATGGGTTTAAGAATTGTCATTTACAAATTGTAATTCTCTGATCCATACCAACTGATCAATTCTCTAAGTTTACTGTTCTTGAAATTGTACTGCAATTTAATTAGGAATGTTGCGCAATTGCCCAATTTATATATGGATATAAAAATTAGTTCGGTTTACTGATAAATATTTTTAATAAGATTGCCTTCAAATTAATATTGAAATACTCGAATAAGGTTTTAAAATTCTTAAATTGTCATTGTTTTGATAATGAAGACAAAATATGCAGTAACCTAAGTGAGAATTAAAACTCCATTTTGTGGAATTGAATCTTATTCCGTGCCAGCCGCTCCATCTTTTTGCTATGTTAATGAACCAAATCTGAAACACCTTGAGGATCTACATGTACTATACTGGAATTGATTATCAGACTCTAAGGTCATGGTGATAGCCATTGCGGATCCCAAGAAGACTTTTAAAGTGCAGATAAGAAAAATTCAACCGGATAGAAATGTTCTGTCTTGTTTTGTGTAAATATGTATAAAAGTTTAAAGGGGAGTAATAAAATTTTGATTGACAGCAGTTTGTCAGTGGCAAAGGTTGAATTCTTTATAGAAGTACCGCCCTGGCATAAACATATATTCAATAGTCAAAATTCCTTACCAAAGCCTAATAAACCATGAACAAAATAGAAAAGCTTACGGCATTAAGATACTTATTATGAGCTGTGTTGAATTATGTACCAAACGTACGGAGCAAGTTTACCATACCCAAGAACGCAGAGCATTCAGGTAAATCCTACTATTCACGAAAATGACTTCCATTTAAAATACATATTTTGACTCCACAATTTCTTTGATGTTTCTCGGACATATTTCAACTGTCAACTAAAGACAAAAGCTGGCATACCACCGGCTAGTAACTAGTAAAATAATTCACAGTCCAACCGAGGCTTTCAATCGTAAAAATATTACAGCAAGTCTGAAAAATGATTTGAAAGTAAAGTGATCACTTGTGTGTTGGTTTTGTACCTGTCATTCTAGTATTAATTTATCAACTACTTGGCTACATTTTTCTTATTCCACAGGCATTTGATGTGCCGAGAATGCACGAAACGTTGGATGTGGGCAGTAGTTTTAGTGGAACTATTAATACTACAGTGAAAGATGAAGAAGGAGATAGAGATACTGTACCTAAGGAAACACATTATATGAATGCTAATTGTATTTTATTGACATATTTTACGGGTGATATCTCTACTGTGGTTGATGATCATTTCTCTCGTGCACTAAGTCAAACTACCAGTTTCAATGTGGAAGGGTGTACGAATAAAAATATTTCATGTAAAGGTAAGATATTATTACTCATTTCAGGGCAGTTAAATATGGATAATTTGCTAATTTCCATCAAATCACCGAAAATTATTTAGAAATGGAATTTCCAATAAATCTATTTTATAGGCTACAACTGGTCTTGTTTTATATATTCGATCTATGAATGCATACAACGCAAAATTAAATGTAAAAAATTTATTAAATTTAAATATTCATTATGGGATGAATTTTATTGGATGATAAGTGAATAAAAGGTGTTGGCTAACCAGAACTAACGGATTTCGAAGCAAAATTTATCGATGTCAAAATCCCAATTAAATGAATATGTCAACCAGTTCCTAGATTATTATGCACATAGCCTGGAATTCAAAATTAGAAATTCTCATTCATTACCTTGAAATGAAGAAATATAATGTTATACTACAAATAAGGAGGCAGGAACTTAAAATAGAATTTTGATGATGAGATGAAAGGCATGGTTCGAGCATTATGTGTAATGAATATGTGACTTGCATAAATTTTCCAATGTAGTCATATTATTTTGTATTATTATTAAGTTAAGTATTCGATGTGTCTTCACCATGAAGGTATCTCTAAATCGATTGCATTCAATATTACAATTACAATTCTAACACTTTGGCATTCATTGTAAATCGTATTTAACTCTCTAACAACGATGTTCCCGCCCATCAGTTAATGTCCTCATTGAAATGTTTAATTGTATTGTATTGTGTTATGTGGTATCCAATGTAAACAATCCACGCACGTGTATAATCAAACATACCCTTCTACCATGTTATTATGTTGAAATATGATACTAAGGAGTAGAGGAGCATCTTCTAGTAGGAAAAAGGACGCGGTGGTCTAGATTTTCACCTCGTCCTTCTGAAAGACCGAACGCCACTCTACCTCATAATTGCGCCACTGTACAAGCATATTATCTTATGCTGCATTTTTATGAAAAAATCTGATTGTATTAATAATTGTCAAAATATTTAAAATTTAAAATTATTAAATCGTCGCAATCAGATGACGTTTAGATAAAAATCAGGTATATCAGATGTATATCTGATGTATATCAGATGTAGCCTATTTCAGGATGTTCAAAGGAAGATTTAAATTTCTCAAAGATTGTAAAAGATCATCTTACATGAAAGCTGAATAGAATCTAAATTATATATTTATGATTTACATGCCAATTTACAATCGTATTTTTGTCTGAGTACTATTTTATTTAAAGTGTTTATGTAATTTAGCTCCCTAGACTCTACATGGAATCTTACTGACAAAGGCAGGAATTTATAAATTCTGTTTTTATATCATAGTTTAGTCTCAACACAAAGGACTAGAAAAGTCAGTATTAATTGCATACATGTGCATACTTTGTATAAATATAGTTATACGTGTGAAATATAAAACTGGTTTATTCATGAATTGAATAATTGCATAATATATACATAGCACAGTACTATACATAATTAAAATATAAAATACATGAATCAAGTTTTAAATCGAATTATTTAATGCGTGCATATTCCTGGCTATATATACATAAAATAAAATAAAAAGTTCCAAATAATACAATGCAATAATTATTCAATAATCGGCTTTTGTATAATCCTAAAAAGGGTTTGCATTTTTAATATGTAAAAACGATATTGTATAATTATTAAAAGTACATAATTTGGACTTGGTATAAATGGTAAGCCTTGTGTTAAAGACTACAGTATTTAGACATTGTCAATGGTTTAATTAGGAGAAAGGTGACAGCAGCGCGTGCCTCAATCTTTATTGTAGAGAATAAAACGTTGAAGATGTTGAATCCTATTTGATCTACAGTTCAACACATTCTGTCAACAAATATTCTCTTTAAAACATTTAATTTCTATTCATCATATAAACTACTGTTTAACCTTACCAATTACCTTTTAAACCATTACTATTCACGACGACCACACGCCACTTTTTTTATATGATGCTAGGAAAGCGAGGACAATTCACTTGATAAATTGAACTCGCCTTGAGTATTCATTATAATTTCTATATAGCTGAAATTTTGAAGTTAAAAATTTTTGAAACAGTTCTGCGGACACGTACTTATCTTGAGAAGACAGATATAAAGTTATAAATTAATAAATATAACTGATGAAGGAATC